ATAGTTATTTTAAAATAACATTTTACAATGCACTGGAAATTACATTATTTGCCATTATTCAGAAAACGATCAAGAACTTTGAATGTTAGCTTATGATCCATTAGCCAAAAGCATCCTGTAGTTTATAAGAAAGATGAGTAAAATACATTAACATTCACTTACTGATCATTTTCCAAACCCTAATATAGTACTTTACTACACTAAAGTTTATTTCACGTGGTTCTAAGACTTTTTTTTTTCCTTTTGACAAATGTATTAAGTTCTTGAACAGTATCTTTCTTTATAAACATCCAGAAAATTTAACTGTAAAGAACATCAGAACTTTTAAGGTAATATAAACTATTTAGATTCAAAGCAAATATTTTTCAAAACTAGTAAACTTTTTCTACTTCCATTCTTCACATGAGGCCTATACAATTCCAAGGTTCTGGGGCTGAGAATAGTTTAAGAATTCCAAAGACCTTTTCCATACAGAGAAGCAGTATCTCCTTACACCTGTTACTTACTAGTCACCTAAACAGTCCATAACTATGTCCCAGCTCCTAAGTTTAATCGGTTTTCTGGCAAGAACGCCAATGGAATTACTCGTTCTAACTATTAACAGTATAAAAAATGTATGTAGTCTTTTTATTGTTTTAAAGCAATTCTACACATATTATCTAATATTAATAGAAGAGATCTACGAAGCAGGTAGAAAAGATGTTGTAGATAAGAAATTTGCAGTTTAGTAGTAACGTCTCGTTTACAATTCCACAGCAGCAGCAGCGGCACAACTGGACTGCTGCAGCACAGGCAGGTCTCCAGACCGATCACACCAAACTCTTTTCGTAAGAAACCCTCATTTGAACTTCTGCTTCTAACTCTATATATACTGTATGAAGTTCTGGGATGATTGAAGGCAAGTTAAATTTCTAGCAAAGGTGACATAGAGCGCTTAGTTTTAGCAGCTGAATTTCTTAAGTGCTTTGTACAATGCTTTGAAGACTAAATTCCAATTTGTAGTATTATTTAAAAGTCACTTCTATGTTGAATATATTGTTATCCAAAGATTTTTTTTTTTNTACCTATTAACAGTATAAAAAATGTATGTAGTCTTTTTATTGTTTTAAAGCAATTCTACACATATTATCTAATATTAATAGAAGAGATCTATGAAGCAGGTAGAAAAGATGTTGTAGATAAGAAATTTGCAGTTTAGTAGTAACGTCTCGTTTACAATTCCACAGCAGCAGCAGCGGCACAACTGGACTGCTGCAGCACAGGCAGGTCTCCAGACCGATCACACCAAACTCTTTTCGTAAGAAACCCTCATTTGAACTTCTGCTTCTAACTCTATATATACTGTATGAAGTTCTGGGATGATTGAAGGCAAGTTAAATTTCTAGCAAAGGTGACATAGAGCGCTTAGTTTTAGCAGCTGAATTTCTTAAGTGCTTTGTACAATGCTTTGAAGACTGAATTCCAATTTGTAGTATTATTTAAAAGTCACTTCTATGTTGAATATATTGTTATCCAAAGATTTTTTTTTTTCAAAATTTGACTTCTTATATCACAGAGGACAAACAAAACATTCCCCTCGACAGGCCTCAATCTCAGTTAAGAGTAGACATTTATTAACGTATCAGGAACCACGTGCTACTCAGACTAACGCTCACTCTTCGTTTTAACTATTCCAGCGCTAAAAGTGAAATGCATTATAATAATATATACATTCACGGCTACTGCCAAGGAGTCCGGGTCCCCTAAAACTTATACCAAGCCAGGCGCTTTAGTTTCATTCAGCGTTTCTGAGTTTCTCTTGCAGAGAAGCGTGAACCTGAGCCAACGGGCCCGTCAGGAGCACCAGGCGGCTCTGGGTCCCACGGCTCCCGCCACAGCGACGCGCCGCGGCCTGTAGCGCAGACCGAATCCAGCGGGGTCGAGGCGGAGAGGCGGGGACTCCCGCCAGCCCCTCAGGGACCCACGGGGCGGGGTCGGGAAATACACTGCGCTAAGGAGAAGTAGAAAGAAACGGGCTTCACGACCGGGCTGGGCAAGACGGCGGCAAAGTCACACCTGCAAACTGCTCACCCCGCTTCTCCGCGGCGGCCAGTGCAGACCTCCCGGCGACACTAGGCTACGTCGGCTCCCTTCACCCTACTATTCCTCTCATACGGTGTCTTGATGACGTCGTTCTTTCCGTGTTCACGCCGGAAGACTTAAAATGCCTCTCCAGATCGAACACTGAAGACGAAGTTTCCAACCAGCGCTCCACAAACCACGCCTTTCCCACCGTTTTCTCTGCAGGCCCCGCCCCCGGGCGCGCGCCCACGCCCAATAAAACCACGCGGAGGTCGCCCCTCCCACGCCTCCGCCCCGCCCACCTGGCTGCCCGCGGGCACCGGGCAGAGGGAAGGGGCTGCAACAAGCTTCCGCAGTTCATTTCTTTTCCTCCCCTCCTCCCTTAGAGGACCGTTTCCAAAATGGCAGGAGGCAGGACCCAGTAGTATTCAACAATCGTAAAAGATAAGCCATGACTAAAAGTCTTTCCTCACCACAGCTCGAGAATCTAGCCCTCCCCAACAGCTCGAGCTCCGCCCTCCCTGAGCTGGGCCGCGCCGCCGCGCCGCGAGCCCGCGCTTACGCTTCCCGGCGGCGC